AAAGACTAAGGGTTGACCCTGAAACTTCGATGGTGTCAACCGCGTGAAACGCGCAGTACCATAGATCCGGTTTGTGTGACGCATCTTCATTATCTTGAAGGTAAATTCATACCTCTTGGAATATGATGATCTACTAGTACTACTACTACTATGTCACTCCTGCTGGTTGAGCTAGCTCTGTGATGTTATCAAGGAACTCATGGAGGTCTCTCTTGATAAGGGAGTTGTTGAAAGCCTTCATGTCGTTTTGTCTTTTCCCTTTKAGCTTTTTGATTGGTGAGGTACTCTTGCAAYYACACTTGCAACACATGTCCCATCTTCCTATCCCCCCCCAGTCAAGTATAATGCCAATGGAAGATTGGCATAGTCTTCCTTTATCAAAGAAACTGATCATATAAATTGCAATAATTGTTGAGGATGTTGAACATGGAGAGACAGTAACAACAACTGAGTGGTCGTTTTCTTTTCCTCGTCAAGCACTTGCAGGAGGCCTCCTTTGACTTTGATTGAAGGAACTCTTTGCAAAGTTCAATATTTTCCCAGTCCTCCAGGCCCTTGTGGTCTCTGGAATTAGAGAAAGGAAGCCATCCTTTTTGTCCTTTAGTGTCTTACTAGGGTTTGTACCACCAATTGCTTGTCCCTTGGGGCTTCCTCTTGTYATTGTCTACTACCTCTTCCACTAGCTTGCTTTGATACTCCTCCTTACTGTTTGCTTATTGCTGTACTTTTCCCTCCTTTTGTGAGCAGTTACTACTAACATGCTGCTACAGTAGAGGTGCAGAGCTACTATGGTTGTCACAAGATTGCTCAATGATTGCCTAAGATCCAAACACTGACTTAATCCACTATGGGTAAGGCTTGCGTGTTGACAGTATTCAAAAATTTCCTAATGCAATAAGTACTGATGGTCCCACTCCTCCTACTAGTAGTCCCCATAGGAAGTAACTGGAGATATATGTAAAATCTCAACAACATGTAACTTGCTAGCTAACTTGAATTGACCACTAGTA